GGGCTGTCTTGGAGCCTTCTTGGGGGCTTCGGCGGTCGTTTGGCGATCTTGGGAGCCTCTGGCTGGGGCCGTCTTGGACGCTACGAAAGCTGAGGAGGCGAATCTGGTAAACATACGCGTCTTGCGAAGGGAATGGAACGATTTGTGCTCTTGGGGCTCTCTTCGGCGGCGTCTTTTGGAGCCTCCTGGGGCCTCTTGGAAGCTTCCGGGAGCTTCCTCAGGGCGTCTGGGGCCCGAAGGTTCGAAATGTTCGTTCTGGTTCCTCTTCTGGGCCCCTCTTGGCGCAGTCTGGAGGCCGTCTTGGCCAGTCTTGGGGTTCCGAGAGCCGTCTTGGGGCCTCTTCGGCTGTCTTGGAGCGATCTTGGGAGCCTCCGTCTGGGGCCGTCCTGGACGTTGCGAAGGCTGAGGAGGCGAATCGGGTAAACATATACGTTTTACCAAGGAAATGAAACGACTTTTACCTCTTGGGGCTCTCTTCGGAGGCGTTTTGGAGGCGTCTTGGACATTGTGGAGGCCTGTGGAGCCGTCTGGAGGCCATCTTAGACATCCCTGGAGCGATCTGTGTGCGACTCGGAGCCCTCTGGAGCCTCTTTGGGGCGCTCCTGGAGCGCTCCCTCCGCTTTCTTTTCGTCCAGGGATCCCCAGGGGCCGCCCCGCACGCGCGAAGTACGCCTCTGGCGCGTTGGGCCGGCGAATCCAGGCCACGTTGGGGCAATTCGGGATGCCATCGTGCTCTCTCGGGGCCCTCTTGCGGGCCCTGGGGGCCCTCCTAAGGGGCGGCGTGACTTGGTTTTCCCCCGCAGTAGCCAATCAAGCTCCCCTTGGGGCGCTATTGGGACACTCGTGGGGCCGTCTCCGCATTGGAGCCCTCGTCGGGTTCTCTTGGGCCATCTTGTAGCCACCTTTCGGCGATTACGAGAAGGGTATGGTTACGCTGGGGTGTGGTCTGCGATCGGCACCGTTGGGGCCTGGGGGGCACGACGCTGTCCTCGTCGGGCCCTCGGGGCGCGGGGCAGCTCTATCGAGGTCCCCGCGCGCCCCCCACAAGGTGCCCCCCAGGACGTCCCCCAGGGTGCCGGCTGCAAACCACACCCTCTGCAAGCCACGCCCTTTGTAGTCGCCGAGCCTTACAGTCGGGGCGCTGAAGAAGGAACCCTTTTCGTTTGGGAGGGGCTCCGTGTTCCTTAATTGTTTCGCAGCTTGCCTCAGGTTTTCCTCAGGTTTTCGATCTGAGATCGAAGTTTTTCTTATGGAACATAGGGGCCTCGTTCCTTATTTAGGGTTCCTTAGGTCAACGCCCCGACTGTAGGGCCTCCATAGCCTATCAGAGGCGAAGCGGCACAGATCACAGATGTTCTCTTGGGGTGTTGCATGGGTCTGGGCCGGCCGGGCGGCTCCACGGGAGGGGCACCGGCCACTTGGAACCGTCTGTGGGGCAGTCTTGAGGGCCTGTTTTTTTTTTTTTTTTCTCTTCGGGGGAGGCAATGTGGGGGTGGATGGTTTCTCCGAAGGGCTATAGGCGGCCCGTCCTCCTCATCCCTCCCACACTCCCTCCCTCCTCCTCACTCGCCCCCACCTCCTTCCCCCTTCCTCCCCCCCTTCCCTTCCCCTCCTTCTCCCCTACTCCATCCCCCCCTCCTCCCTCCTCCCTCACTCCCTCCTTTCCTCCCTCCCCTCCCCCCCCCCCCCTCTTCACCTCTTTCCTCCTCCCCCTCCCTCCCCCCTCCCCCCTCCCCTCTTCCCTCCCTCCCTCCCTCCCTCCTCCCCCTACTTCCTCCTGGGGACAGCCTTCTCACCTTACCTCCTACACTGCACCCCTCCTCCTCCTCCTCCTCTTTTATGGACAGGAGATTTCGCTGTATGATTTGCTTCAGGTCGGCGAAGTCCCGATCAGTGTTGCGGCAGTTGAAGTGCATGGAAAGTCCTGCTCAGCATGCGTCGCATCGTGCTGGGCCCGTTTTGTTATGTTCGGTTTGTGGAGCGTATGCCGTGAAGCGTAGCCAGGGGCTTTCCGAGGAGTGTAAGCTTTTTAAGCGCCGCACGGGCGCGCTCGTTAAGGATGCCAGGTACTATCGGCTGCAGAACATGCTTAAAGGCTGCCACCCTAAGTCAGGCCTATTCTAGGCCCTCCAGTGTTGCTGCGCAAGCGGAGGTTCTGCGAGACGGCTCAATTGCCGCCGCGTCCATCTCTCCCTGAGACCTCTGGGGCGGGGAGTGGTGTGGGAGTGGGGGCGGGGTGGGCGGGACGGGAGCACTCTCCTCCTCCTCCTGATTCCCATTCTGATTCAGCCCTGTGTGAAAGCCTTGTCGGTTTCCCCGATGCCAGCGACTCGGGCGACGGCGATCCCGGTCGCGAAGCGAGGCTGTGGGTCGAATAGCGTCTCCATCGTTGGCCAACGCGTTGTTCAAACCTCTGGCCAGTACGCGTGCGGCTGGTCTTTGTCAGGTCAATAAAACTCCTCCTCCTCCTCCTTCTGCTCCTCCTCCTCCTCCTCCTCCTTCTCCTCCTCCATCTTTCTCCCCCTCCCTATCCTCCTCCTCCTCCTCCTTCTGCTCCTCCTCCTCCTCCTCCTCCTCATCCTCCTCCTCCTCCTCCTCCACCTCGGGTCGCCTACGGCCCCGGGGGAAACCGTGCAGTGGACGGGCTTCTAAAGCCATCGTGGGCTAGCTTGTGCCAGCTTGGAGGCTGTGTTGGGCTATCTGGGGCCCTTTTGGGGCCACGTTGAGCCATCCTTGGACGCTTCAACGACCCGCGAAGCCTTCTGTTCAGACCCAAGGACAGGAGGGAAGGGGGATGTAAGCATCCCCCCGAGGAGGACGAAGGAGGTTGGAAGAACCATCTTTCTACACAACCGACGCCCCAAGAGCTGATAGGACTCAGTCAGACATGTATGGAACTACTGGGTGTCTCCCCCCCGTCTCAAGCTGGCGGGAAAGACGCCCGCGTCAGATCCAAGGCTCTTGCTGACCCGTGCGTTTGATGACACGGATGAGACCTGGAACATGTTCACACGATTCAGAACCGGCATCGCCCATTCATTTTTACATTATCCAGTTGTCTGCGGCAAACCCCGTCACCGTGCGTGTGCAACAGCGCAGCAGGAAGGAGGCCTAGTGTAGGAACAGCGCGATTCTGACGAGTAGTTTGATGAGGATGGGTCGTGATCTCGACCTCGTCTTCGCCCGCGCGGTAGGAAGAAGGTCGTGCCCACACCCCGCGGCAGTTAGCGAGTGGTCTGGATTGGGGAGAATCGTGATCTTGACATCGATTTTCTCTGCGCGGTTAGGAGGAGAAGGAGAAGGAGGAGGAAGAAGAGAAAGAGGAAGGAAGGAGAAGGAGGAGGAGGAAGGGAATGAGGAGGAGGAAGGGGAGGAGGACGAGGAGGAGGAGGAGGAGGACGAGGAGGAGGAGGAGAGGGCGACGATGGGGAGGAGGAGTTGAAGGCTTCTTCGGGCCCTGTTGGGGCCTCAAGGGAGCCTCCCGAGGGCCTCCTGGGGGGGCCTCCAGGGGGCCTCCTGGGGCCCCCTGTGAGCCTCTTCGACCTTCTTGGGCAGTCTTAGAGGACACTGGCCCGTCGAATGCCTTCGGAGGCCGTCTTGGGTCCTCTCTGGACCGTCTTGGTGCCCTCTTGGAGCGCTCCAGGGCCGCCTTGGGGCTCTCTTGCGAGCCCCTCGAGCGATCTGTTGGCCCTCTTGGGCCGACTTGGGGCTCTCTTGGGGGCCTCTTGGAGGCCTCTTGGAGGCTATCTTGGAGCTATCCTGGAGGCCTCTTGGAGGCCTCTTGGGCCGTCACGGCTGGTCGGAAACCAAACAGGCGAGAGCCCCAAACTCCAGGAAACACCTATAGCAAACCAATGGTTGTGGCCTCCTCGAGCTCTTCAGGAGGGTCTCTTGGAGCGCTCCCGGTCCGTCCTGGGGACCGCTTGAGCTGTCCTGGGGTCTTAGGAGCCTGTTGAGCCGCCTTGGGCCGTCTTGGTGTCCTCTCTGCTGCCTCGGAAGCCGTTTCCGAGGCCCTCTTGGCCGCGCGGAGGTCGACAAACAGCGCCGGAGAGCTGCTTCGGGGGAGGGGGCGACGTCCAGCAGATGCGCGCGCTGCGGGCGGGGGGCACAGACGATCTACAAAAAAAGCCTGCACGGAGTGGGGCGTCGCACGTCGGCCCAACGTGGGGCGAGGCGCGCGCTCCGAGGTCCCATAGTGGAGACACCCACGGCGGGCGCTTGCTGACGCTCTTTCTGACCAGCCTGCTCCTCCTCCTCCTCCTCCTCCTCCTCCTCCTCCTCTTCCTCCCTCTCCTCCTCCTCCTCCTCCTCCTCCTCGCCCTCCTCCTCCTCCCCCTCCTCCTTTGCCCCCTCCTTCTCCACCTCCTCTTCCTCCCCTTCTGACCAGCCTGCTTGAGCAATAACATACCATGAGATCTGTGGAAGGCATGCTCGCGTCGGACGTGCGTCTGCAACAGAAGGCCACAGCGCGTACTGGTGTGTCCTTCTGCGTCCCGGCGGTGTCTCTCGTGCTCTGACCTCTGGCAGGAACTAGAGCAGGTTGGCACACGTGCGAGGGACCTGCTGGGGCCAGGCACGATCTTTCACGTGGTGGCGGCGCTGTGCACTGCAATCTGTACAACCCTCACCTCGCCAGCAGCAGCCGAGGCCTCCACAGGCACTGGGCACGCCGCCTCCTCTCGTGGCGAGGGAGTCACGGCGCGCAGCGTTCGGCCTCAAGGCGGCCCTCGCCCCCCTCCTCCGCGGCCGTGAAGAAGCAGTCCTGCGGGAGGGGCCCAGATCTGTTGGGCGTCGACGTTTATTTGTTCTGTGTTGTTTATTTGTTCTGATGTTCTGTTTTGGTGTTTTTTGGGGCCCAGATTTGTATGTATTTGGGCGTCGACGTTTATTATTTGTGTCTTCTGGGATGAAGCCAAGCGCCGACGTCGGAGTGCTGGGGAGCGGACGTGGTCGCAGGGTCTCGCCGCATCGCCGACTCCTGGGCCGGGGCCCGGAGGGAGGGACCACCTGGAGCCTGGCGACCGACAGGGGCATCGTGCTCACGGTGAAGTTCCAGGAGCCGCAGCCCCGTCCTCGAGAGTATGGCTCTTTCTGAGAGCCAGCCTGCTCTTGGAAGCGCAGTGCAGCCGAGCATCTGAAGGAGACACCTCCTGTGACAAGTCGGGTCGGCGTTTCTTGGCCAGCTTGCTTGAGAATTGGCTTACTGTTTCGAGCACGCTCGCCCCTCTTGGTGCGAACGGCAGAGGCTGGCCCATGATTGTTTTCAGGAGCTTCGAGGAAGCTGGGCCAGATTCCTTACAAGATATGATTCTTGATTCCAGTTCTGGCTGAACTCATGTTTTTATTGGCTTTTCGACCGCCGTTGCGGCGGCCTTGGCGCAGCGTCGGCCTTCACTCCTCTCGATGGGGGTTGCGGATCTGCTCTGCGAGCTCTTTTCACTTGTCTCGTGATGCGGACAATACGCGTGTGGGCCAACGGGGACAGCACCGAAACATATTGATGTTGCCGTGGGGAAGCACGGCGGTGGACTTGGCAGAGCGAATCTGGACTGTACCCCCCCCCCGCCAGCGCAGGCACTGGCCCCCCAGCCTTCCCCAGATGCTCCTCTGGCTCGCTCCTCGTTGATGGGGTGGGAAGCCAATCCCTTCCCCCCAACAAAAACACGGATCTCATAGTTCAGCGTTCCTTTTCTCTTGCGATTTACGGGGGCAGCTTGAGGCCGTCGCCTGTGAGACCCCTTGCCAGCAGGGAGCAGGAACGCGCCGAGTCCGCCAGCCGGTCGGCCAGCAGGCCTCTTTGGGCAGCGCGGTTGGGCCGGGGTGCTGCACTTGCTGGACGAAGGCGCGTGTCCCATACGGAGTCGGAGCCAGAGCCGGGGTCGGAGCGGAGCCGGAGTCGGAGAGAGGGAGGGAAGAGGAGGGTCTCTGACGGTAGGAGGAGGAGGGAGGAGGAGGAGGAGGAGAAGGAACAGGAGGAGGATGAGGAGGAGGAAATTATAGTTGTTGTCTCTATGGCAGATGGAAGGGGGGCCTCTGCCTGCACCCCAGGCTCTGGCTGGTCTGGCCAGCCACGGGGAGACCCTGGCCGTCAGCTGCCCCTGCCGTTCTCGCTCCTGCTCGGCGTCGTCGTCGTCTTTCTCATCCCTCTCCCGATCCTCCTCCCGATCCTCCTCCCAATCCTCCTCCCGATCCTCCTCCCGATCCTCCTCCCAATCCTCCCCATTCTCCTCCTCCCAGTCCTCCTCTTCCTCCTCCTCCTCCTCCTCCTCCTCCTCCTCCTCCTCCTCATCCTCCCTGTCCTCTTCTCCTCCCTGCTCCCCGCGCATTTCTGCCACCCCCCCCCTCTATGGCCGCCGCTGTCCTGCCCGCCACACGGTGCGGACATAAAACAGGGAGCCATTGGATAAGCCGGCGGCGAGCGAGGGGGGGAAACGAGAAGGAGAAGGCCTCCTCAGGAGGCGGCGGGGCTTCTCAGGAGGCCCCCGGCCTTCCCGAGAGGTTCTCGGTGCCTTCGGGGGAGGCTCAGAGAATTTCTCAGAAGGCCGCGGGGCCTCCGAGCCCTGCGAAGGCCCGCCCCTATCTCGCTTCCCCCCCCGGGCTCGCCGCCGATCCTCTCCAGTATATTTCCTTGGGGTGCAGCGTGCGCGCCAGGGGCCGTGCAGCTTCTAAACCTGCAGAGGCGCCAGTCGGCGGGCGCCCGCCCTGGCTGTCCGAGAGTACGGTCGTCGTTCCAAGGAAGAAGTTCAGCGGCGCCGTAACGGGTACTCACTAACGGGTACTTTTGAAAATTGCCGAAAGTTGCCACTTTAGGGCCTCTTTGTGGCATTGCAGCGTTGCCCACATCGGGGAGGGCTAGGTTCGCAGGCACACTGGCCAAAGTACCCGTTAGTGGAGTCCCCGTTGGAGGGGCGCTGAGAAGTACAGGGGCCCGCTTCCCTTCTGGGCTCGCCGCCGAGGAAGGAACCCAGGGTCCGGAAGCGCCGCCCTCCTCGCATTGGGCATCCTCCACCGTCTGCAGCCTCCTCCGGGCGCCCTCCTCACGGCGGGAGCCCATGCCAAGAGACGCACTGCTCGCCTCCAGGGTGCTCTCTGCTTCTTGGGCTTTGAGGGTTCTGCTGTGGACAACGTGAGTTCCCCACACACCAGAAAGCAGTGGACGCCATGGGGTCTCAGGGTTGGGTTTCTTGTGAGAGGTGTCGTGAGGTCGAGCCCCATACAGGAAGGAACCCAGGGTCTGAAAGCGCCCTCGTCACATTGGGCACCCTCCCCGGCCTGCAGACTCCTGGGCGCATTTCTTGTCGCCGAGCCGGAGACTTCTCCAGAACCACCGCCTGGGGGGTCGATCTTCACGGACCTTGAATCAATGCGGGTCCCCGGGGGCCACAATTTGTCCATGTCCACCGCCCGATGGGGCACAAGCACGTCGGTCCCCAGGCGGTGGATGGGGGCAAATCCCCGCCTCGCACCAACGAGCGCCCCACGCCGTACGAGGAGACCCTGGCCGCCCAGCTGTTCAGTGCGTGGGCGGCCCCCAGCAACCGGTACCTCCTCACGCCCGCCGTGAAGGCGTTGGCCCGCTCGGCTCCAGGCGCCCCAACTTGGTCCCGGCAGATGGGGTCAGAGGATCGAGCCGCATCGCCGATGCATCGACGCGGCTCGATGTTGAGCCCGAGATCCTCCACGCTGACGGCGCCACTGCGTCCCCGACGTCGCCGGGGCATCGCCGATGCATCGTCGAGGTATTGGCGATGCGTCGCGACCCTTCGACCCCATCTGCTCGCACCGCATTTGGGAGGCGCATCTCGACGTACAGAAAGACGATCTTGAGGAGGGGTACCTCTGCCTCGTTTTTTCATTGTTCGGCGCCCTTGGAGGCTATCGTCGGCACAGCTGGATTCGCTTCGAAAATTTGGTCAGAGCGCACGCTGGGAGAGGTCCAGGAGAGGACGTTGTGAGAAATCAAATCGCCGGCCCAACAGGCCAAGGGCGTGCTAAGATCTCCAGAAACGGGCTAACAATATTTCTAGTTCGCGCGCGCGGGGCCGCCTCTGGAGGTCCCCAGAAGAAAAGTACCCCGGCAAGATCCCGGCAAGGTCCCAGGCAGGTCCCGGCCAAGTCCCGGCCAAGTCCCGGCCAGGTCCCAGCACACTCCCAAGAGCGCTCCAGGAGCGCTCCGAGTGGCCTCCCAGAGAGCTCAACATGGTCCGAGACGGTTCAAGAGCAATCCAAGACGCCAAAGACGGACTCCAGACAACCCAAAATGCTTCCAAGACGGCCTAAGAGGCCTCCAAGAGACCTCCCCAGAGGGGCTACTTACGTATGGTAGACAAGACGTGGAGTAAGAGGAAGAGCAGGAGGAGGAGGAGGAGGAGGAGGAGGAAGAGAAGGAGGAGGAGGAAGAGGAGGAGGAAGAGGAAGAGAGGAGGAGGAGGAGGAGGAGGAGGAGGAGGAGGAGAAGAGGAGAATCGAAGAGGAGACGAAGAGGAGGACGAGAGAGGAGGAGGAGGATGAGGAGGAGATGGAGGGAGGAGGAGGAGGAGGAGGAGGAGGGAGAGGAGGAGGAGGAGGAGGAGGAGGAGAGGAGGAGGAGGAGGAGGAGGAGGAGGAGAGGGCGTCCGACTCCGACGGATTCTTGCGCCTTCACCTCGTTACTCGTCAGGAAAAGGAGGAGGGGAAGGAGGAGGAGGAGGAGGAGGCGGAGGAGGGAGAGGAGGAGGGAGAGGAAGAGGAGGCGGAGGAGGAGAAGGAGGAAGGGGAGGAGGAGGATGAGGAAGATAAGGTGCATTCCAGAAGGAAGGGCCACGCCTTCGGCGTATCCTTGTCCGATGTTGTCCCCATCCTGGCTACATCTTGCCCAAGGGACTTCCAGAGGCCCCCGGATGGTTCTGGTGGAGGGTCCCAGGAGCGCGCCGCATAACCTCCCATCTAGGCCTCCCAGATGGAGTCGGAGGATCGTGCCGCATCGACGCTGCATCGCCGATGCTCCTCGGTGTGAATCCCGATTTTCTCGCCGATGCGGCGCGTCCCTCCGACCCCATCTGCTCGGACCTCCTTTAGGAGGCCTCTAATTGCCTCCCAGCGGTCTGGGTCACCGCACCTGCAGCTCCGGAGTGGGCCCTGGGCTGCCAGAGCCCGGGGATCGGAGGTGGACAGAACCCCCAACAGTGACACGTCGATTAGTGAATTGTCCGTTTTCGGTTCTCGAGAGGGCGCCGTGGCCGTTATTTTCCAGGCTTGCGCCCGCCAGGTTTGGACCTCAGGTCGTTTTCACTAAACCACGTTTTACTAAAGGGGGGTCTGTCCATCCCCGAGGGGAGGGGGCCTCGTCTTCGACAGGATGCCCTGCGATCTTGCCGTCCCAACTCTTGCCGGTTCGGCGCGTTCTCGCCCTTCTTCGGGCCCCCCCGGGCCTTGGCAGGTCGACCCGGCCGAAAACTGACGCGGAAAGATGGTGTTCCATTCTTCTACGACGTTGCAGATTTCAGGAGAAAAAGAAACACACAGACAAAATTAATCTTCGATTCCCCAGAAAATATCGAAAAATATGAGAGGTGGGGGGGGAAGACAGAAACCCAGAAAATATAGGAAAATATGGGGACTATTTATATTTGTGTGTATTGATTTGTGTGTCCTGGGGCCCCTTCAAGATTGTTCGCTACGTCAGATCTCAGGGTTGCGGTGTGATCACGGCGGCGTGCAGGCAGGACAGAGGCGGCAGGACATCTCAGAGCTCGTCTTCTATAGGGCCGTGGCGCAGCTGGCCAGGGGATGGACGACGGCATCACGGCAGAGGATGCCATGTGATTCCCGTGATTTTCCCGCAACCCAGACGCTCGACGTCGTGTTTTGTTCACGACGTCGGCCCTCAGAGGTCTGGACCTTTTCCTCTGGACCAGTTTGTCATCCAGAGTCGTTTTTTGACGGTCCTGGGGCCCGGTAAGGGCCCCCAGAGGCCGAAAATAGTGAAGCATGTCCCGTCGTGCTTTTCTCAATTAGGCTCGCTTAGTGGGTTCTTACTTGGTTGAAGGCTGGTGCCTCGTATTCTTAGGTTGACCGTTGCTCGGACGTTGCTCTTACGTTGACCGGGTTCCCTGGATACCCAGGGTTCCCCGCCCCCGGTGCCTCCTATTGATTCCATTGGGTCACCCGGGTTCTCCAGGTTCTTGGGTCCCCAGGTTCGCCGGGTTCCTCGGGTTCCCCGGGTTCCCCAGGTTCCCTGGGTTCTTTCTGTTCCCCGGGCTTCCCGGGCCCCTTCCCCCCCGGTGTTTCGTATTCTCATTGTGCCCGTTCCAGGAAATTCCAAGCAGTGCCAAGCACTACGCCCATACGGTAGGATTTTTTCCCATTTGGGGTCGCGGCCAGTGCATTGGCTGTAATCACTCGCGACGCGAGCCTAGAGATCCGATGTCGTGTTTTTTTCACTACGGGATCCCCGGAAGTCTCGACCCATTCCCCAGGACCGGTGTCTCATCCCGAGTCGTTTCTTGACGGCCCCGAGGCCCGGCAAGGGCCCCTGCATGGGGCCGAAATTTGCGAAAAACCTCCGTCTTGACTTGTTCAATACGTTGGACCTTTAGAAATTACTCACGACGCGAGAGATCTCCACTTTGAGTCGTGGCTTCCCAGAGATCTCCACTCCGACTCGTTCTCTCACAGTCCGCCGGGCGCCGGAGCCCGAAGGCTGCGGAGCAGCGTGCCGCGGTGATTTTTGTGGAAAGAAGGGGTCGCCACAGCGTCAAGTCGGGCCCGTCCCTCTACAGGAGGAGCAATCAAAAATAATCAAAACATAGTCAGGGGACTATTGTTTGAACATTTTCTGCCATTTGAGTATTTATATTTGTTCGTCGAAAATCCCCCTGTAGGGGGACGCACCCGACTTGACCACAGCGGGCCGCCCTTCAGAGATGAATGGGTCGCCACGGCGGGCCGCCGTGATTCTCTTTCCCCAGCGTTGATGCTTACAGCGGGGGCCCATGCCAAGAAGCACCCTGCCTGCCTCCAGGCTGCCCTGGGGTGTCTTTGGTTCCGATGTTTTTTTTTTTGCGATAAGCAGCGTGGCGTGCCCACACCAGAAAAATCATTGGACGTCCTGGGGTTTTGGGGTTGGGCTTCTTGTGTCAAGTCGGGCCTGTCCCCCTACAGGAGGAATATCCGAAAAGAGTCCCAAAATAGTCTGGGGACGAGTTTTTGACTAGGTTTGACTATGTTTGATTACGTTTGGATCATGATTGGGGGTATTTTTTCGATTTTTCGTCCAAAACCCGCTCGTAGGGGGACATGCCCGACCTCATCCTTGTGGAAGGCTTCTTGTGGTTGCAGGCCCTTTCTGCCGTGCGCCGAGACAGAGGCCGGGCGAGCGTCTGCCCGCAGGAGGTGGGCGCGGCTCCGCGGCGGGCTGTTCACCACCCCTGCAAGGGCACCCCGGCCCAATGGGAAGGCCCCGATGCGCCCTCCAGTCTCCAAGTACAGCTGGGGCCCTGCAGAAGGAACCCTTTTCGTTGGGGAGGGGCTCGGTGTTCCTCGCTTGTTCTGCAGTTTGCCTTCTGTTTTCCTGAGGTTTTCCATGGGAAATCGAAGTTCAATTTATGGGAGAAAGGGGCCCCGTTCCCTATTTAGGGTTCCTTGTAGGGCAACGCCCCGACTGTAGGCTTGCCCTATCGGAGTTCTAGCTCAAACCCTACTCATCGGTCCGTTGCCCCCCCCCCCACACACGAATTCCGATGCCCCCCCCCCCCCGGAATTCCTGTGGCTATGCCTGTACCCTTGCCTGTGCCTCCCCCCTAACTCCTATGCCTACCCTTCTCTCGTCCTCCTCCCGTCCTCCTCTTGTCCTCCTCCCGTCCTCGTGTCGATCTGGAGTCGACGCCGGCTGACATGCCCAGAGCAGGGTGGCGCCGGGGAGCACTGAAGAAGCACGTGGTGGAGGCCCATAACCCCCCCCAAAAAAAACAGAAAACAGCCCACCCCTCCGCTCCTCGAGCGCCCGCCCCTCCGCTCCTCGAGCGCCCGCCCCTCCGCTCCTCGAGCGCCCACCCCTCCGCTCCTCGAGCTCGAGCGCCCAGCCTCGGAGGTGGGGCTCGGTGGGGGGGCCCTCCGGGGCTCGGTGGGGGCTCGGTGGGCGCCGCGGAATTGGGGGTCATAAATGGGGGGGTGGCGAGGGTGGTCCGAAAAGGTACCCAAACGGTACCTGAACGAGCCCCCTGGGGCTCTGGAGGGGCCCGAAAGGGGCACGGAAGGGGACCTTTTCTGACCCCCCCATTTGTGACCCCCCCCACTAAGCCACGCCCAAGGTGGGGGGGCCCTCCGGGGCCCAGAAAAAAGGTGCCTCCCGGGGCTCGGTGGGGGGGGCCCTCCGCTCCTCGAGCGCCCACCCCTCGGCGCCGAGCTCTCGCCTCCCAGAGCTCCGACGCCCCCCCAAGACGTTGGAGCGGGCGGCTTCGGACTGCTCTCGGCTTCCAGGGGGCCCTCTGCCTCTCCCCATCCATTCACCCTCCTCCTCCTCCTCCTCCTCCTCCTTCTCCTCCCCTTCGTCCTCCTCCTCCTCCTCCTCCTCCTCCTCCCTCCTCCTCCTCCTCCTCCTCCTCCTCCTCCCCCTCCCCTCCTCCTCCTCCTCCTCCTCCTCCTCTCCTCCTCCTCCTCCCTCTCTCCTCCTCTCCTCCCTCCTCCTCCCCTCCTCCTCCTCCTTCTCCTCCCTCCTCCTCCTCCTCCTCCTCCCTCCCTCCTCCTACCTCCTCCTCCTCCTCCTCCTCCTCCTCCTGAATCGCCCTTCTCCCAGAGATCCGACGCCCCCCAAAAAGTTGGAGCGGGCGGTTTTGGACTGCTTTCGGCTTCCAGGGGCCCTCTCAGGAGGGAAAAAAAAACACAGACACAATTAATCGTCCACTCCCAGGAAAATATGGGAAAATATCGGAAGTGGGGGGGGGAAGACAAAAACCAAGAACACATGCGAAAATATGGGGAATCCTGTTATTTGTGTGCATTTATTTGTGTGTCCCAGGGCCCCTTCACCCAAAAAGTTGGAGCGGGCGGTTCTGGACTGTCCAAGACGATGCAGGACGACACGAGGCAGCCATGCAGTCGGAGGCGCTGCCGCGACGAGCCCATACTGTATACTTGTTCAGGGATCCCGACGGTGCTGCCCCGTGCCCTCGGAGCATCGGGCAGCATGGCCGGCTCCCACACCCGTACTGTCCACCGGTACCTTCACACACCGTGTGTGTGAATACACTGGCTCCCATGTCGTCGCAGAACACCGGGCCTGGGGCAGTGGCCCAGACCTTCTGCTTGGCATCGCCTGGACGTGTGCACTTTCTTCGAGGACCTTCGAGGCGCATCCTCGACCATTTGGCGAAAAGGCCACGCACGAAGCCGAAAAGAGCACAGGGGATGGACGTCCGAGCGATGGCCAGCTTGGAGCGGCCGCACGTCCGCGCGGGGGGCCTTGCGCCGGCCGGCTCGCGAGGCGGCGGTCGCGGGCTCCCCGACGCTGAAGGACCTGGTGAGCATGGCCTCGGCGCCGCACAGCGCCGGGCCCGCCGCTGCCGCCGCGGCGCGGGCTCAGAGCCCCGAATCATCAGGGGTAACTCGGGTCAGGGCTAACTCGGGTTCGTTTTTCGAGATTCCGAACCCGAGTTACCCCGGACCCGAGTTACCCCGGATAATTCGGGCGCCCAACGGGCCGCACGCAGCGGGGTGTGGCATTCAGTCGGGCCTCTCCCTCTACAGGAGGAATTTTTCAAGAAGAGTCAGAAAATAGTTTGGGGAGGATGTTTCGAATGTGTTTTGATTATTAATCGCTTCGCTCATTCCGCCGGCCCATATTGTCGCACCGTTGTGGGCTAGCCGAGTTTGGGGGCCTCTTGGGGGCCGTTTTGGGGCCTCTTGGGGCCTCTTTTGGGCCTCTTGGGCGCCTCTTGGGGCGTCTTGGGGGCCTCTTGGGGGCCTCTTGGGGCCTTTTTGGGGCCTCCTGGGCGCCTTCTGGGGCGGAGGGCTCGATTTTTCAGTTCTCGGTTCCCCTCTTGAGCCCCTCTTGGGCCCGTCTTGGGGCCTCTTGGTCCGTCTTGGGCGGCACTTGGGCCGTCTTGGGGGCCCTCCTGGGCCGTTCCGGGGCCGTCTTGGGAGCCTCGTGGGCCGTCTTGGAGCGGTCTTGGGAGCCTCTTGGGCCGTCTTGGAGCGTCCGGAAGCCGAAAAAGCCAGAACGCAAAAAACATCGAAACATGATCGACCCACGAACCCGGAAAGGAATCTAGAACTGTAACACATGGCAGCGTTTTCAAAGACACCTGACTGGGTGACGGGCAAATGCAATGCTGAGTGTATCGATCTTGATGTACCCTGCCGAGGGCTGTGCTGTGCTGCACCGTGCTGAATTGCGATGTGCCATGGCGCGATTGTGCTCTATAGCGTCGTGGATCGAGTCCTCCTTTGCATCCGAGTCCTGACCGAACTGATCTGGATCTTAAGCTCGAGCTGCCTGAACACATAGTAGCTGCCTCACAGCTAAGTGACAGGGGAACATGCCAGGAGGACGCGCCGCGAAAAGTCCCAAGGGATGCGCCAGGCGACGTGCCAGGGGACGTGCCATGGGGACGCACCGCGGGACGTGCCAAGGGGACGCGCTACGGAACGTGCCAATGGATGTGCCACGGGATGTGCCAGGGGACGCGCCGCGCGACGTTCCAGGTGGATTCGCCAAGGGACGCCCCACGGAACGTGCCAAGGGACGTGCCAAGTTGCAATGCTGAATGTATCGATCTTGATGTACCGTGCCGAAATCTGTGCTGTGCTGCGCCGTGCTGAATTGCGATGTGCTATGCCTCGATTGTGCTCTATAGCGTCGTGGATCGAGTCCTCCTTTGCATCCGAGTCCTGACCGAACTGATCTGGATCTTAAGCTCGAGCTGCCTCAGCACATAGTAGCTGCCCAAGAGCTAATTGACAGGGGGACATGCCAGGAGGACGCGACGCGGAACGTCTCAAGGGACCCGCCAAGCGACGTGCCAAGGGACGTGCCATGGGGACGCACAGCGGGACGTGCCAAGGGGACGCGCTACGGAACGTGCTGGGGACAAGCGTTTCGCTCGAGATATCCTGCCGACATCCTCAGAATTCCTGCGCGCGGGACGCGGCACGCGCGAGACATCCTCGGAATTCCTGCGAGCGGGATGTGAAACCAAACATTTCGCCTGAGACATCCTCTGAATTCTGGACCCCTACGAGGCCCCCCGCGAGGCCCCCGCTCGAGACATCCCCCAATTTTGCAAAACCAGCGTTTCGCTCGAGACATCCTCAACAAATGTTGAAACAACAAGCGTTTCGCTAGAGACATCCCCAACTCTGCAAAACCAACGTTTCGCTCGAGACATCCTCAACACATTCTGAAAAACAAGCGTTTCGCTAGGGACATCCTCAAAAATAATTCCGCCGGCCCTACTCCCGCACGTAATTCATCGCAGAATAATTTCGCCGGCCCAAGTCGCAGGGGGGCCGGGGGGTTAACCTACTAAAAGAGAACCCTGGGCCCGCGCCCTTTCCGGGAAAAACAATGAAAATCAACGATTTTGGCCTCTTGGGGCCCTCTTCGGAGGCCTCTTGGAAGGCCCTTGGGGCGTCTTGGAGGCCTCTTGGGCTGTCTTGGGGCCCTGTTGGGCGTCTTCGGGCGATCTTTGGCCGTCTCGGGGCCCTCTTGGACCGTCTTGGAGGCTTCTTGGGGACCTCTTGGCCCGTCCTGGGGCCCTGTAACAGGGCTCCGGCATCTCTGGCCCGACCTTGCCGGGGACTTGCCGGGACCTTGCCGGGTTTTTTTTCGTCCGGGGACCCCCAGGGGCCGCCCCACGCGCGCGAACTAGAAATACTGTTAACCAGGTACCGGAGATCTTAGCACGCCCTGGCCCGTTGGGCCGGCGAATTTGGGGCGCATGTTTGGAGTATGCGGTGTTTTGCGGCCAAAGTCTCCCTGTATGGGGGGCAGGCCCGACCCAAGTGTAGCACAGACGGGGCTCAGCTGGAACGCCGGGCCCTGGAGGATTCTCCTGCAAGTCTTGAGTTTGTCCGAGCCGGATTTGGGAACCGCTCGCGGCTCTGGAGGTACCCTTACATACGGTGGTGGCATTCGTTGAGGAATGTGCCCAGGAGGTTTCGGACCTTGGCGGCTTCCTTGTCTTATGAGGTTGGCAGCGGTTTCCGTGGCATTGCCTCAATTGGTGTTCTGCCAGCTTCCGACCCTGGATTCCTTATCCAAGGGTTTCTTTGTTATGCAATGCCCGCACCGTATTGGCTGAGCCGGGTGTGGGGAGCCCCCTGACACATTGCAGCGCATTTTTCTAAATTGGTTGAGTTGGGTTTGCGCGAAGCCTTGTTATCTACGCCCTAGTTGCCGCGGGGCTCAGGGGAAACGCTTGGGGAGGTAGGTTCAGGAGGGGTTGCCTTGACCTCGAAACTCCCATTGATCACCGACACGGGCCCGACGGCCCCAACCTGCCCAGGAGCGTCCAGATTTATGGTCCGGAGCTTGTCGCCGATAAATCGGCGATGGTCTCGCCGATTCCAGGTCGATGTTCCCCCCCCCCTTGGTCAGGGAATCTCAACACAGACACGGACAAGCTTCGGCTTCCATGAAAATATTGGACATTCGGGGCGTGAAGGGGAAGGCGAGACTCCAGAACAACATTGAGAACAGATGGGGAAGCCTTGGATGTGTGTCTGTTCATTTGTGGGCCCCTGGGCCTCTTCACCTGGTCCCGTCCCCCCCTTCTATCGTTCCCTCTCACGTTGCCTCGTCGCTGCCCCGCTGGCCGCCACCACCTGCCGCTCCGACCCCGACCTGAATTCCAGGGGCGCTGCACATCTGCCAATCCCCGCTCTGGGTTACGCAGGCGTTTTTTGTGTTCCGTCCCCATGCTTTACAGCAGCCCATCGAGAACAACATAGCCGCCAACCCTAATTGCACGATGGCGACGTGGCCTCACTCAGGCTCCTGTCTTCGCATTAGTGACGATAGATCTGTGCGGATTGGTCTGATGCATCTGCAGAAAACCTCCTTTCCCGAATGTTGTTGGCTCTCCTATCTTAGCCCCCCCAAAAGTGTTAGGGATACTTCTATTGATTGGCAGCAGTCTTGCGGTTTCTACTTTGGCTTTCAAGCCAATCTCATGTGTGCATGCTTCACGGGCCGAAGCAGAATCGGCAGCCAAGCACAGCCTCTCTTCGATTCAGTTCGCGAGCTTCCGTCGCCCTGAGCTGCGGCTCAAAGTTCGTCGTTCTCGCCAGTCACTGCCTGCTTTTCTGCCTGGGGATGCCTTCCAGCAGCTGCGCCTCCCCGAGAGCGCCGGGCAGGGGTGCGCAGAGAAGCCCGATCGGGCGCTGGAGGCCCCCGTCATGGCCCGAAGGTTTCGCCTCCTCACGTTGCGATAGAATCGCAGCGGGGGTGTCTGTGCGGACAAGATTCATGTCCCTATCCAGTGCCTTTTGGACTGTTTTGGGAAGCGGCGCCACAAGGCCGAGGCGCACTGGATATGGATAAACATCGAGCCTCTAGGGGGCAAATTTATCCATATCCAGTGCGCCTCGGGGTTCTTGGGACGGGAGCCCGAAACTCCATACTGCAGTGGATATAGACAGAAGTTTTGCCCGCAGTCTGGGCCATTTTGGGGGGCCGCTCCTGGCCGCGCCGGGCGCAGTCGGCATGGAGTTCTGCTGCGTCCGAGTGCCCTCCGCCCTCACTGTCCTCTCCTTCGTGGTCGCTCTCCCTGTTCGTCTAGTTTCAAGTCGGGCGTGTTCCTCTACAGGAGGAATATGCAAGAACAGTCGAAGCATAGTATGTCATCGTTTTTTGTTGTTTTACCGTTTTTTCCAATCTTTTCGAGTAGTGTTTACCTTTTGTCCAACATCCACCTGTAGGAGGACATGCCCGACCTAAGTCTAGTTCCCCCCTCTTGCACGCCGACCAATTCGCGAATCGGTCGCCCTGGATCGCCGCTCGCTGGTGCGGATACCTTGGCCTCGCCGCCGACGTAGAGTGCTTGGGCCATGCTCGGCCTCGGGGAGCCCTCGCCAGGCACTTGGGAAGACAAGGACGGCGGATCTGGGCTTCTGGGGGCCGACGTTGCCATATAAGAGGAACGCGACGTCGGAGATCTGGGGAGGCCCCTTGCTGTCGGGATGCAGGAGGGGGACTCCGCCCGATTGCGGGACGAGTCAGGCCAGGAGTCGCGACGATCTGCGCTTTCCTCCCAGATGCCCTTCGTGGAGCCCCTCTTCGTGGCCGACGCCCGCCATGTGCAGAAATGCCCTCCTCCTCCTCCTCCTCCTCCTCCTCCTCCTCCTCCTCGTCCCCCTCGTCCTCGTCCTCGTCCTCCTCCCCCTCGTCCTTTCCCTCCTCCTCCTCCTCCTCCTCCTCCTTTCCCTCCTCCTCCTCCTCCTCGACGAGCAGGCGTGGCGCCAGATGCGGCCAGCCCCGACGTCCTCCGCCCGCTCCTCCTCCCCATCCCCTTCCGCCAGCCCCCCCCATCCCCCACTCCCCCACGGGTCCTGGGTCCGCGTTGCCAGCTCATCCGGTGTCTTGCTGGCGCACCGTGACCTTGGCATCGCTCGGACGTGTGCATTTTTCTTTCGGCGAGGACCATCGAGGAGCATCCTTGATCATTTGGCGAAAAAGCCACGCACGAAACCGAACAAAACACAGGGAATGGACGTCCGAGCGATGGCCAGTGACGGGGAGCTCGCGGTCGCGATCGGCGGGGAGGGCGGGTGGGCGGGAACTCGCGCAGGGAGACGGGGCAGCGACCTTCCCCGGCCTCTCGGGGTCTCCGACGCCGTGCTGTCTGCACAACGTGGGCGCCCAGAGGTCTGAGCCCCTCTCCCCCAAGGAGAGGCTCTTCATCCCGAGTCGTGTTTTGACGGCCCCGTGGCCCAGCGAGGGCCCCCGGAGGTCGAAAACTGACCCAGACCCCGTGTCGGGCTTGTTTTTGTTGCAGCGAGAGGAGGTGGAGGTCCCCGCCAAGACCGGCGTCCACTTCGATCCGATCGATCCGATTCAATGTCGATTTCCGGCCGCTCCGATCCGAGTCGATCCCGATGTTCCGAGGGTGCGATGCGGCCCGATGCTTGCATGGCGTTGCCGTGCATCCTGGCGCAGGCGATCTGAGTCGATGTCGGTACTGTGCCGACGCAGCCCGCTCCGATGCACACTTTCGGAAGCCTAGGGTTTGGCACCAGCACCGAGATCGGCGGTGTGCCTCCACCGAGGGGAGAGAATCCCGATCTCGGCGATGGCGGTAATGCTCGGGCTGCCCAGGTGGCCGAAACATCACCACCAACACCAGACACTGTGAGCATCCTCCCCCCGTGGACGCACCCCCTGTTTGGGTGCTGGTGTGGACTTCGAGGCCTCCGGCAATTCTATTCGATCCGAGGTGCCCGTTCGATGCGGACGGATCCCGCAAGACCGGCCACGCTTGCAGGCCACCTGGCGCTCGGGCGACGGAGGAGGAGGAGGAGGAGGAGGAGGAGGAGGAGGAGGAGGAGGAGGAGGAGGAGGGAGGAGGAGGACGAGGAGAGGAGGAAGGAGGAGGGGAGGGAGGAGGAGGGAGGGAGGGAGGGAGGAGGGGAGGGAGGGAGGAGGAGGAGCGAGGAGGAGGGAGGAGGAGGAGGGGCCACGGCGGCGTCCGACGGGCTCTTGCCCTTCAGCTCGTCGGCTCGTCAGGAGGAGGAGGAGGGAGGAGGAGGAGGGAGGAAGAAGAGGACGAAGGGGAGGAGGAGGAGGAGAGGAGGAGGAGGAGGAGGAGGAGGAGCAAGTGGAGGTGGAGCAGGAGGGGAAGTAGGAGGAGGAGGAGGAGGACGAGGAAGAAGAGCAGGAGGAGGAAGAAGGGGAGGGGAAGGAAGAGAAAGAGGAGGAGGAGGAGGAGGAGGAGGAGGAGGAGGATTGCCAAGCTCGCAGGTGTTGGGGTCCCCGCCCCGCCTAGACGGGGAGTCATAGGAGGCAGTGCGTCGCTGCCGCCTCTGTAACGACGAGGAGGAGTAATCAAACCAAGAGGAAGAAGAAGAGGAAGAAGAAGAAGAAGAAGAAGAATAATAAGAAAAAATGAAGAAGGACAAAAAGAAGGGAGACGGAGGAGGCGGACGGAGGCGGAGCAGCAGAGGGGGCCCTGGCCCGCCCTCGCGCCACCTCCCGCCCAGCCGCGGGCGCGCGCGGCGGCGGCGGGCGCCGCGGGACGCCCGCGGGCGGGCGTCCGGAGCGAGCGCCGCAGCAGGAGGGCGGGGCCCTTCGCCGCCCGCAGGTCGCCCGGCGCCAACGCCACCGTGGGGCGCAGCGCCTCCGCGGCCGCCGCCGCGGCGTCGTCCGGCCTCGCAGGCGGCGCGCCGTTTGGGATCGTTTTTTGTTTATATACATATACACATCAGATATGTATTACCACAAAACATGTTGTTGATTGTTATGAAATCCGCCTTGTGGTGCCCAGTCCCAGGCCTGCAAGGGTACCCACTGGTCGTTGAGAGTACGGTAGGCTCATGCGGCGTTGGCGCACCGGCGAAGAAGGCGTTCGAGGTTGACTTCTGCGACGCGGGAGCACCGATGGGCACGGTAACGCCACTAGACCCGACGGAATTCAGTTTGGAACGATCCAGGCCGCGATCGATTCAAGGTTGAACGATCGACGCGGCGTCAAAAACCTTAGCGCGCGCCGACGCCGCACGAACCTGCCGTAGGCTGAAGTCGGGCCTGTCCCTCTACAGGAGGAATATTCGAAAATAGTAGGAAAATAGTCCGGACGATTCTTTGAATACTGTTTGACCATGGGGGAATATGTTTAGGGGTATTTTCAATTTTCGCCCAAAATCCCCTCTGTAGGGCGACAGGCCCGACTTCACCGTAGGCGTTTCGCAGGCTGTCCTCCCTCTCCTCCTCCTCCTCCTCCTCCTCCTCCTCCCCTCCCTCCTCCTCCCCTCCTCCCTCCTCCTCCTCCTCCCTCCTCCTCCTCCTCCCCTCCCTCCTCCTCCTCCTCCTCCTCCTCCTCCTCCCCCTCCTCCCTCCTCCTCCTCCTCCTCCTCCTCCTCCTCCTCCTTCTCCCTCCTCTCCTCCTCCTCTCCTCCCTCCTCCTCCTCCTCCTCTCCTCCTCCTCCCCCTCCCTCCTCCTCCTCCTCCTCCTCCTCCTCCCTCTCCTCCTCCTCCTCCTCCTCCTCCTCCTCCTCCTCCTCCTCCTCCTCCTCCTCCTCCTCCTCCTCCTCCTCCTCCTCCTCCTCCTCCTCCTCCTCCTCCTCCTCCTCCTCCTCCTCCTCCTCCTCCTCCTCCTCCTCCTCCTCCATCCTCCTCCTCCCTCCTCTCCCTCCTCCTCTCCTCCTCCTCCTCCTCCTCCTCCTTCTCCTTCTCCTCCTCCTCCTCCTCCTCCTCATCCTCCTCCGGGGCCGCCTGGAGCCCTGATTGGGGCGATCGACGGGAAGGAGGGGGTGGGGCCGGAGGATGGGGGTCGTTGGCACACCAGTCTTCCCTTCCTCAGCGCAGCGCGGGAGAATTACCCAGGGGAACGAAGAGGGACATAAACATAAAAATTCGGAGGTCCGCGTGGATTTCTCGGTTCCGCGCATCAGGGAGGGGGGTCCAGCGCGGATCCGAGGAATCCGCGCGGACCTCCGAGTTTTTCATGTTTATGTTGTTCTTCGTTCCCTATCACTGGCTGGGTACCGCTCGGAGCTGTGCATATTGCTCGGTGGCCCAGCGCAGAAAGAGCAGGACCATTTTGGAGCATCTTGGACCGTATCGAGATAAACAAGCACGCTCGGAACCAAACAGTGCACGGGTGATCGATGGCAAGAAGGCATTTTGAGATGTCCATATTATAATATTTGTGTAGGCGCCTTCCTACCTCAAGGATACAGTGAGTTTCCCTCGTCCTTTGTCTTCAGGCGGGCGGAGATCCTATCTACTTTCAACGCCTTCCTACTTCGTGTTTCTACCTTCTTCTTCCGACGGATGGGTACAGTTACCGCTACTTTTCTCTCGTTTTCATCGTTTTGGGGCCTCCCGGGAGGCCCTCGTCGCCATGGGAGGCCCTCGTCGCCACGGCTGGATTCCCCAGGAGAGATCTGATGAGTAGCGGTATCGATATCATTTTGCCCCCCCGTTGCGAAGACAACCAGCTTCGAGCATCGCAGTCCTACATTCACGGTAGGGCGGGTGGACCCGAGGGAGCGATGGAAAGAGCGCGAGAGAGAGAGAGTGATAGAGAGAGAGTCGACCAAACAACACGCCATCTCTCCTGTTGTTCGCTGAAGCCCCGTGGGGCCGTATGTGTGGTGGCGTCGTGTGTTTCTGGTCCAAGAGAGAGAGAGAGAGAGGAAACAAAAAAGCAAACAACACAAACAAGCAAGAAACGGGAAAAACGTAAAACGATCACCGTTCTCGAGATGATGTGGTACTTCCTCTTACGATCGCGTCCGCGGCCAATCGACGCCCCATCCACCCCGAGAAGCCTCCCGAATCGCCCGGAGGGCGCCCGGGGAGCTCTCCCGAGAGAGCCCCCACAACGGCCCCAGGGACCTCCAAGACGGCTCCGGGGACCCCCTGCACGGCCGAACAGCCTCCCAAGATGGCCCCAAGGGAGGCCCAAAAGGGCCACTTCTGGAGCGGCCTCCCCCCTCTTCGCTTGGGCGTCGCGTAATGGGGGGATCGTAAATGGGGGGGTGGCGAGGGTGGTCCGAAAAGGTACCCAAACGGTACCTAAACGAGCCCCCTGGGGCTCCGGAGGAGCCCGAAAGGGGCACGAAAGGGGACTGTTTCTGACCCCTCCGTTTATGACCCCCCCGTTAAGTCACGCCCAATCCGCCCCTCCCACGGCCAGCAAGCACCCAAGAATGTCCCCAGACGCTCCAAGACGGCATCGAGGACTTTCCCCAAGGGCTCTCGGAGGGCTTCCAGCAGCTCCCTCGAAACGGCTCTGACATGCGTCTACTCCTACGAGGCCCTTGTTCACTAGAGCAGGTGCTTTCCCACGGGCTCCCCCCGATGGTCTGCAGCAGCTCCCACCACACTGTTCCGATAGGCTCCTAGAAAGCACCAACTCATGGGAAAAATCATGCCCCACACCGCTTGGGACACCCTTCGCGCGAGAGGGGTCACAGAACATGGCTGTCAGGTCCAGCTGCGGCCCTCCGGGAGGGGATCCAGGAGGAGGAGGAGGAGGAGGAGGAGGAGGATCGAGAGAGAGGAGCAGGAATACCGTGGATCGAAGAGGCGGATCGAGGGCTGGAGTCTGCCAAGTAGTCCAGGGATCGGCGAGGAGGAGGGAGCGGAGGAGCACGAGCTATAATTACCCAGCACTCCGGCCTCCGACGTCTGCAGAGCTCGGCCCCCTTCCCATCGGAGGCGGAAAAGAGGGGGGTGATGACTAGGGGGGGGAGGAGGGAGGAGGAGGAGGAGGAGGAGGAGGAGGAGGGAGGAGGGAGGAGGAGGAGGAGGAGGGAGGGAGGAGAGGAAGGAGGAGGGGCGATATCATGGCGGGGGGCATGACATTTCCCCAGATTTCATGGCCCAGCCTCTTCTTAGTTCATTCCGTCCCTCGCCCCCCCCCGCTGGGCCGCGCACCTGCCGCCGGTCATGATTTTTGCACCTCCCCCCCTCGTGGACGCCCCCCCTCTTGGCCGCTCCCGATCCCAGGGGTCCGGTCTCTGCTGCCGAGTCATGTCTTGACGGCCCCTCTCGGCCCAGGCGTGGGGCCCCCAGAGGCCGAGCACGGCCAAGAAAAGTCGGCCCTCCTCCCTCTCGTCCTCCTCCTCCTCCTCCTCCTCCTCCTCCTCCTCCTCCTCCTCCTCCTCCTCCTCCTCCTCCTTCCTCCTCCTCTTTCTCCTCCTCCTCCTCTTTTCTCTCCTCCTCCTCCTCCTCCTCCTCCTTCTCCTCCTCCTCCTCCTCCTCCTCCTCCTCGTCCTCCTCCTCCTCCGTCGAGGGTCACCGAGCGCGTTCCGCTGCTCGCAGAGTGCCTACTCGCCAACGTCTGAGCAACACAGTTGTCTGCCTCGATGTAACGTATCGTGCATGCCCCGCGGCGGATCCGGGCCATCTGCGAGCAGTTACTCTGCGAGTAGTGGGACGCGCCTGTCCAGAGACAGGAGGTGGGGGAGGAACGGTCCAAGGAGGATCGATGATCGAGGAGGCGGATCGACAATCGGACTCACCCAGGCACCTCGATCGGATCGGGGGTTGCCCGCAGACCCCCCCACCGAATACATGGAGAATCGCGGGGAGGGGGGGAGCAGGAGGAGGAGGAGGAGGAGGAGGAAGAGGAGGAGGAGGAGGAGGAGGAGGAGACGGAGGAAAGAGAGGAGGAGGAAAAGAGGGGGAGGAAAAAGAGGAGGAGGAGGAGGAAGATGAGGGGGAGGAGGAAGATGAGGGGGAGCAGGAGGAGGAGGAGGAGAAGAAGGAAGGAAGGGGCGGAGCAGGAGAAGGAGGAGGAGGTGGAGGATTTGGAGGAGAAGGAGGAGGAGGTGGGGGTAGGTAGGATCGAGGAGGAATACGAGGAGGAGGAGGAGCCCGATCGTCGTTGATCACGTACGCCTCCATTGACGCTGCGAGCTCAGTCGCTCAGAGTCTGGCCAGCGAGCAAGGAGGAGGCGGCGGCGGCGGCGAAGCGGTATCGGGCCGAATGTCTCCTTGCCAAATTAGACTACGTAGTTGGACACGCCGAGCAACATGACGCGATGCGCGACTAGCAAACGGATATATGGATGGCCCTCTCCAGGGGATTGGAGCCAGGGTGGATGATGAGGAGGAGGAGGCGGAGGAGGAAGAGGAGGAGGAGGAGGATCGAAGAGGAAGAGCAGGATCGAGTAGGAGGACCGAGTAGGAGGACCGAGTAGGAGGATCGAGAGGCAGAGGGAGGGGAAGGAAGATGAGGAGGCGGAGGAGGAGAAGAGGAGGAGGCGGGAAGGGGGAGGAGGAGGATCGAGGGGAGGCGGCCGAATGGAGACATCGGCCCTCCCGTCGAAGGGGAGGGCGAGGGGTAGGTGATTGTGACTTAAGCATCTTGTGATGGATTTTCTTGTTGAGCATTGTGGCTTTAGGAGTGGTGCCTTGTCTCGGCTTGCCATCGTGTTCTACTGAGAACAGGTGCTGCGAGACAAGGAAGGCGTTGTCTCTTTCAAGTTGCTAATCAAGAGGTGTGGTCAGAGAAATGAGTCTGCGCAGCAGTGCAAGTGTTCCCAGGCCGCATGCCTTGCGTCTGCCAGCGCACGCAACAAGACGGCGGGCGTTGGCAATCCGTAGCCATTTTGGCTCAAGTTGCAATATCGGGAACTCCCCCGTCTCGAGGTGGCGAGGCGGCCGCGCGACCGCGGGTCCACAGGTGCTCGCCCGAGCAGGAC